AAGCACCACGGTGGGCAAGACGGAGCTGAAGTTCCGATATGACCGGTCTCATGACGACCAGTGAGTCTCATGTCATTGCTAAAAGTGAACAGTATATTGATCAGCATCAAGTACAGGGACCAAGAGGACAACCCAATCACTCACTCTTCACCATAGACAGCAATGTGCTCATTGTGCCTCTTACCAAGCTTCTCAATGTATTCATGGATGGCCTTGATACCACCTGGTTGACGAGTAGCTTCAGTAGAGTAGTTGGTGTGGGCACCAGCTCCATTCCAGTCTCCCTTCAAGGGTTTGGGGTGGAATGAGACTTTGATTCCCCACTCTTCGGTGACACGATGAAGGAGGACTGTAGCAGAAAGGAGTCAGCAATCTAGCGAAGAAGAAAGATGATCGGGATGGGATCTTACATCGGGACATGGTTAAGTGATCGCCCATGTCAATTCCCTCACAGGGACCGACCTGGTATTCCCATTGGGAAGGCATGACCTCGGCATTCACACCAGAGATTGTCACACCAGCATAAAGGCAGCAGCGGTAATGGGCCTCGACAATGTCTCGGGCGAAAACGCGTCCAGTACCTTAAACCCCGATCATCTCATCAGCCACATCCTCGACCGTACTGCAGTGTTGTATTTTGGCTCTTCACTTACCGACACCACAGTAATAAGGTCCCTGGGGTCCCGGGAACCCTCCCTTTGGCCAACCATAGGGTGAAATTCCATCTGCATCGAACAATGTGTACTCCTGTTCGATTCCAAACCAAGGCTTGTGAACTGCGGCGGCGTCCATGGCCTTCTTGCAAGCATATCTAAAATTAACATTTCAACCAAATCAGCTAAGTGAAAAGCTAGAGATCGTATCGCATACAAGTAGAAAGAGTGTTGTACCGGAAGTTGGTTTTGTTTGGGGATCCATCAGCATTGTAGCACTCTGCTAATACGAGCACATTTTTTCCGCCACGGAACGGATCTTTGAAAACGGCGGCGGGTCTCAAGAATACATCGGAATCGGTACCAGAAGCCTAAGGAAGAGCAGATGGTGAGCTGATCGGTTCAAGCAAGCTATGGAAAGAAGTCAAAACAAAAAGAGATATCAGTACTTGAACTGACCTGGTTGGTGGATGATCCATCAAAGTTCCATTCTTTGCAGTCGGCAACAGTCACTTGGCCCGAAGCAGGAAGGTCCATAGTCTGATCGGTAAAGTCGATCAGGAAAGATCGAGAAGATAAGATGGGCATCAAACGTAAGTAGAAGTCAAAAGGAAAACAAATCAAAAGGCTGGAAAGACGTACGGTGGTTTTACAACGAAGACCACCTTCTCCATCAATCCAAACATACTCAGCTTGAACAAGGTTTTCAGGTTGAGGTAGTTCGAGGTACTTGGCCAGATGACCAGGAGCAGAAGTAGTTGGGTTTACAGACATTTTTGAAGGATGAAAATTGATAGTTAAGAAAAGTGTTGAAGTGTAAAGTGAAGAGTTGATGGGTTAATCAAACGAGAAGATTGTAATGGTAGACAGGGAAGAAAGGAAGTGAGATGAATGCGGGGAATCAGGGCGAAGAAAAGGTTTTTGAACAACTTCAATTGTGTAAATTCTCATCGGGACCGGGAGGAACGGATCCAAAGCCTTGTCTACGGTGGGTTGGGTGTGTGTAGTTACAGTGTAAACTTGATCAACTGTTCAAAATCTATCTGGATTCATTCTTACCTCTTCACCGCCTCAATCATTTCTCCACTACATGATCGTTTCATCAGTTTCACAGCTCTTCTTCAGTTCTGAATCCTGATTGGATCCTAATCTGAACTCTTTGTAACATGTATTGTCATCATAACCTTTACTTTTCCAGCCTTTTCTTCACCATTTTCATCAATCATCGAATTCTATAAAAAACATTCATTCCACTCGATCATTCTTGTGCTGCTGCTATATTGGTACACATTTGAGGGTCCATTTCTTATCTTTAGACTTTGACCCATGCGTAGGGATCGGTTCAAATGTCGAATGCCAAGGCATTTGCTGAAAATCTCTTCATGTGAGATCTTTTTCTGTAACCTGGCCTAAATTAAAATTCCTGTTCATTTGCATCCGGGTTTGCTGTGCTGACTCTTGAGTGTGCATCTAGGAAGGCCAAAGCTGTGCTCGCACTGGCAGTCGCAGCTCAACGGCCCACTTTACAACTTCGGAGCTTGGTTCCTTAGGGAGGTCGGCCATCTAGTCGGAGCAGAGAAAGTAGTTGTCGGTTGATGTCCAGATTATCATATCTTTACACTCTTTTTTTTTTTTCTTGGGAGCAAGAAAGAGGCTTTGCTTTTCTTTCTACTACTTTTTCTTTTTTTTTTTTTAAAAATCATACGATTAAATGTTTAAAAAGACTGTCTCGACGGTTATGATCCATCGAACTCTGTAACGAGGTTAAACAGTACGCTGTTTCTGATGTTTTTCAATCCAGCCCAGTTACATGAGCATTTATCAGCGGTTTTATAATTAGTTTTTTTTTTTTTGAAACTGTCTCGAAGGTTATTGACCAACAAACCCTGTAACGGGATTAAACAGTACGCTGTTTCTGATGTTTTTCAATCGAGCCCAGTTACATGAGCCTTTATCAGCGGTTTGAGAGGATAAGAAAAAATGACTGTCTCAAAGGTTATTACCCTTTGAACTCTGTAACGAGGTTAAACAGTACGCTGTTTCTGATGTTTTTCAATCTAGCCCAGTTACATGAGCATTTATCAGCGGTTTTTTTTTTTTTGATCTGGTAAATCATGGTTCATCTGTTGATCGTACGTTCTCTGCTCCGTGGCCGTTCCCCTTGGTCTAGGTCCTGCAAGTATGAATGAAAATAAACAAATCTTTTAGTTTTTAAAATAAAATCTGCCAAAAACGGGAAAGCTTTATGATTATCCAGTAGTTTGTTTGAGCTGTTCCAATTTACTTTGATTTTCTCCTCTTTCAATTTTGATCGCATTGCTTTTCGGGCTTTTGAATATCTTCTACAAAACAATAAGAAATGGTGAGTATTCTCTTTTATACCACACGTGTCGCATAGAGGAGAAGGGGCAAGGTTTCGTTTGAAAAGGTGATCATTTAAAGGACTAAACCCTGTTCGTAGTTGAAAAATGGATGCTGTAGAGCCTTTTTCTAGTTCTTCCAGACCTTCAGCAATTTGTTTTGGTTTGGAAAAATATGGTTTATTACCTGGTTTAAAAGGGAATAAAGTTACGTTAAATTTCTCCTTGGTTCGTCTCTTTAGACTACCCAGGCTGGTTTTTAGCGTCATTGGATCTGTTTGGGAGCTTGCTGCTTCCCCGGCTAATTGATCGGCTCGTTCGTTCAGTTCAATCCCTTCATGGCCAGGGGTCCAATAGAAGTGGACTTTGGTATCTTCTGGTAGTCTTTTGATTTGAGATCTAATTTGAAGGATGAGGTGTTGACCGGAGGTTGCGTTTGGGATATTATGTGAGAGGAGGATAGCACCTTGATTATCACTAAAGAAGGCTACGTTCTTCGGTCGGGAGCGTTGGTTTTTGAATTGTTCGTTGGCCAGTTCAGCGGCTAGAAGGAGGCCCAGGAGTTCGGTCTCGTGATTTGAGAAATTATCTTGGTGGCGAACTGCTTGAGTAAGGCTGGTTGACTGTGATACCGCTGCTGCACCACCTCCCTCTGGGGTGACCGAACCGTCAGTGAAGATGATCAGTGAGTTGTTTTCAATTTCTTCTCTCCTGATTTGGTCGGGATACATTTCTTTGCTTCTTCTTTTGACAGGCCTATGTTGAAGATTGTTCCTGTGTTGTTCATCCATGGCGCTATTGGGTGAGGGTAGATCGTTTCGATCTCTTCTTTGGCCAAGATAGTGAAATCAGGTTTACGAATCAAGTCTTGAATGGGGCCTTTATGGGTCTTGGGTTCAGATTTGATTTCATGTTCAATAAAAATCCTCGTAGGGTGATCGTCTGGGGCTGTGCGTCTTTTTAGAAGGAAATTATGGTGCCGTCGTGTCGCGATCCACGTGAACGGTGGTAAGTACACATCGTGTAGCATCATTTCGTTTGAGGTACCTCTAAAGGCACCTATAGCTATCCGATTTGCCGCATTTTGAATTTTGTCTAAGATCGTAGATGCCTTCTTAATAGTCTTTTGAGTTAGCCAGGCAATGCTACCATAAAGGATTCTAGGTAATAGGACAGCTTTGATGAGTTTCTTGACTTCTTTCGTGGCTAAGCCTGAGTAACACTTGTTTAGGCGTCTAAATTGAAGGAGTGTAAGTTCAGCTGATCTTTTGATGTGTTGTAGGTGGCAGCTAAAGTTGAGTTTGGGATCTAGCCACAGACCTAGCCATTTTACTTCTTTCTTTGGTTGTAAAATAGTGTCGCCAAACAGGAACGGTGGGGTATCCAGGTTTCTTTTGTTCGTGAAATGCATCAGTTGCGCTTTCTTCCTATCAAAAATGGCTCCATGTCGAGTAGCCCATTCTAGTGACCTATCAGCGTGTAGCTTAAGATGTTTCAAGTTCTCTGTGAAGGATTCGGTTGCTACTACATGAACTACATCATCAATAAAGCCTAGTGATACGCTCTGATCGTGTGGGTTGGGGGCTTTCCTCCCTAGAATATCTGAGTTATAAATTATGTAAAGTATCACCGACAGAGGGGAACCTTGGGGTAGACCATTCTCTATAGGGAAGCTGTTTGAGAGGAAATCTTGCATTCTAAGATTAGTTGTCCTTTCGGTGAGAAAGCCTTGGATAAGATGTGTTAGGTAATTAGGGCAGTTGTGTTGTTGGAGGATGTGTAGTAGTCGTTCGCGGTGGACTGATGGGTAAGCCGACTTGACATCTAAAAATAACGCTGAGACTACTTTGTTATTTCGCCATTTCTCTTTGATCCAAGACATCAGTATGACCAGTGTGTCTTCAGTGCTGTGTTGTTTTCTGCCGCCCATATGACATGGGGATATAATCTTAAAGTTTTCCGCCCAGTATGTTATACGACTAGTAATAATTTTCTCTAGTATCTTACCAAGGCAGCTTAGGAGTGCTATTGGTCTGTAAGAGTTTGGTTCAGAGTAGTTATCTTTACCCGACTTCCTGATAATGATAGTGATTGCCGTTCGCCACACATTAGGGAAGTATCCGAGTGTGAAGCAGGCGTTGAATAGTCTACACAATTCATGTTCAATGGCCGGGAGAGCAAGTTTTATGAGTTCATTCGAGAGTCCGTCACCGCCATTAGCTTTCTTGTTTGGGGTTTTGTCCACGATGCGTTTTAGTTCATCGGTCTCTAAACGTGGGTGTGTCAGCTCGGAACCGTAGGTGAGAGATCGACAATTGGTTGGGATGTCGGAAAGATCGGCTTCGATATGGGCAACAGATGTACCATAAAACAGGAGTTCGGCTTGTGTTTCTTTGTCGGTTGTTACTGATCCATCCCGTTGAGTTAGGGGTGCTACCTCGCCTGAAGCTGCTGGTTTAGTGTATTTGAACGCTTTGAAAGTTGTGTTACCTGAACAGGTAGCTAGGAATCTCTTCCAGTGGTTCGCTTTGGCTAGTGTTACTTGAGATCTGAAGAAACTTTGCCATTCTTGGTAGCAAGTATGCGCTTCGGGGAGATTGGACTTAATCATCCATCGTTTTGCTCGGTTTCGGTTTCGTAGAATTGGATCCAGCCGTTCCTTATCCCACCAAGCCTTGTATTTTCTTGGGTTTGTTTTTACTTTTTTACCTTGTTCGTGAGCCGCATCCATGATGATCTTAGCGAGATTGAGTGCGCCTGTGTTGACGGTAGCTGTAGACGAGTATGTTGGTGGGAGAGTAGGAAGTTTTTGGCTGATTTTACTGTGCAGTAGATCAATATTTAAATCAGTAACTTTTAGCGAGATGTGTTCTTGAACTGGGGGGATGAGGAGAAAATTGAGGAGTATAGCTACTGGAAGGTGATCCGAGGCTATGCCTTCTTTAATAACTTTACATTCAGTTATTTTTTCCAGGATGTTCCAGCTGGCCCAGATTAGGTCAATGGTGGTGGGAGTTGTCCTGGGGGAGAATCTCGTTGGGTCACCTCTGGGAGAGACGAGTTTCAGACCTTTAGAGCCACAGATGTGGATTAGTTTCTTAGCTTGGTGATCCGTTTTGTTGTAGTTCGGTGGGTTCCAATAGTTATGGTGTAGGTTGGAATCGGTTGTGATGATGGAAGGTGTTTGTCGGTTGTGGTGGAGGCTGAGCCATCTTTCGAGTGTGGCCATGCCTCTAAGCGAGCCTGGTGGGTTATACCAAGATATGATGCGGAGTTGTGTGGATTGAGAATCAGGTTTTTTGATATCTACTGATAGAATGATATCGGATGAGCTTGGGAGAACTGAGATTTGTGAGGATTGAATCAGTTTGGAGATGTACATTACCACTCTGGGTCTTTCTTCCCAGGTGGTCGGGTGGTAGTCGTAGGTTGAGATGAGGTGCCATGCTTCGTGTGTTGGAAAAGAGAGGTTGAGAGAGTTGAACCACGGTTCTTGCAGGGCAAGAACCGTGTATTGAGTCTGCGTGAGTGCTTCTAGGGTGATATGTTGAGATTTGTTGCAATTAAAGTGGAGTATTGAAAAATTATTCATCAGCGTAGGGAGTTCTAAAAGGGTAAGATCTTGAGATGGGACATTGTCCAATGGAGCCGGGTTTGGTGTTTCTTGAGGGTTATTATAACTCATCTTCGTTTATGGTTTGGTTAGTAATCTGAAATTGGGTTCTTCGTAATGGGCAAGAGAGACTTTTAGGGGAATGGGCATATTTGGGGAGGAATCTGTCAACATGAGTGTTCGACCTCTGAGAGTCAAAGCTCACACATCGGGCACAATTTTGGTTAACATCGTTGTTAGCACAATCTTTCGAGTTATGTGGGTCTCCACATTTAACGCAGTGAGCG